GAAGGAGGCTGCGGAGAAGGAGGCTGCGGAGAAGGAGGCTGAGGCGGAGGCTGCTGCGGCTGTAGAGAGGGAGAAGGCGGAGAGAGCCGCAGCTGAAGAGAAGGAGAAGGCGGAGAAGGCTGAGGCGGAGGCTGCGGCGGCTGTAGAGAGGGAGAAGGTTGAGGCTGCAGAGAAGGCTGAGGTTGAGGCTGAGGCAGCTTCGGAGATGATGGAGGCTGCGAAGACGGTGGAGACTGTGGCGGCTGAGGCTAGTGCAGCTGCGGAGAAGGCTGAGGTTGAGGCTGCGGCAGCTTCGGAGATGATGGAGGCTGCAAAGACGGTGGAGACTGTGGCGGCTGAGGCTAGTGCAGCTGCGGAGATAGTGTTAGCGGCTGTGGATAAGGCTATGGAAAAGGCTCTAGCTGGTAAGTGGAGATTTATCTTCCTTAATGAGCCAAACCATTGGAGATTTATTTTTTATATAATGAGTTTCATCAATTTTTGTTTATTTTTGTTAGGTGGAGACGATGCCGATACAGTCCAAACTCCTAGGAAGGTGAAAATCAAGAAACGACCTAGTCTTCAAGCCCAAGCAGCAAAGAAATTAATTAAGAGGAGTAAGACTCCCAAGCGTAAAAGGAAGGTTACTCGTTCACGTTTGGTGAAGGATTGTTATTAAGTAACTTAGGCCTTTGAACTTATGTTGTGTCATTATCTGCTATGTTAGAATTTGTCTTTGTGTTTTTCAGGATTTGAACATATATATTTTATCCAAGTCTTTTTTTATGTGTTGAATTAAATGGTACGACTAGCAGAACTAGACCAACTAGATCTGAATTTTAAAAATGTGTGGCAGCAAAAAAAACGTGTGCATGCAAAAAAAAACATGTTTAAAATGAAGTTAAGAATGGATAGAATATGAAGTCACGTGCGCCGTCAAAAGATGAAATGAATATCTTTGCAAGTTTGCGCCGTCAAAAAAAAAAAATTGAACCCAGTTTTTTTATAACATAGTTGTACCCAGTTTTGATTTGTACCCTAAAGACATAAAGTTGTAAAATTTTGTAATCAGTAGTATCATATCCAAATTAAACATTTTTAGCTGTACTTGTAAAATTTAGTAAATAAACTAATATTCTAATGCTATAACTAGTATAAAAATACAAACTTTCATGGTTTTCATGTTTGTGTGGTTAAGATTTACAAAGTAACCTTAAAAGTATAAGGTAGATTGTGTAGAGAACACATTTTTATGGATCAAACATTTTCGTGGATCAAATTTATTTAACTATGAAATGTTCAAATATGTTTGCAAATGTTCTATGGCCTATTTTATATGGAAAAATGTTTACAAATACATTTACAAATTGTGTTATTGACATTTTTGTAGAAAGCATAGTCGTACCAGTCTTCCCAGTTGGACTTTAGTACAACTAAAATGTAGTTGAACTAGTTGTACTTGAAACGAGTGGTACTAGTCGCACCAGTCGTACCAGACATATTAGACGCGGAATATAGAGTTGTACTAGTGGTGCCTAGTCATACCTGATAGAAATAACATGGATACAAGTCTCGGTCATACAAAGTTGCACACATAGTTCAAATAATTTAAAACAAAGACATAAATTACTCTTCACTTCCATCAATCCCAAACCATTGAGCCCAGCGTCCACCTCTCCCTCTTCATCTACCTCTTCTTCCTCTTCCTCTTCCACGATGTTCTCCAGCTGATGGGAATCTTTTCTGTTGCGGTTTTCCTTTCTTTACTTCATATTCCGGAGGTAAGACTTCTTGTGCTTGTATCTCTTCAGGTACAACCCATTCAGACATATGAGGAACTGGATAGATTGTCCTGGAGTATGCCAATGCCCATAGCTCTACCAAATAATATTTGGAGCAAAACTCTTGTAGATGAAGTTCCTTATCTCTGCTCATATGGATGGTAGCAGCAATTGCATGCACACATGGGTATCTATCTATATCAAAATACTTGCAAGAACAAGTTTTCCTAGTCATATCAACCAAATAATTCTTCCCATCAAGCCCAATCACATTGTATTCATGGAGATAGCTGTTTAACTCTTGCACCATGAGTTTATTTGCATCCACACATCTCAGATCCATTTCGTTCTCCACAGAAGGCACAAGCTTCTGTGACAGTGGGACTTCAGCGGCACTCTGCCTATAGGTGTTCCACCATTCAGCCAATTTGGCAACAATTACATCAATCATTGGCAACAGCGAGTACTTTCTTGCGTTTACAAAAACACCATTGATAGATTCTACACTATTGGTGTTATCTATGTTGTACCTTTCTCCTGGAAAATAACATTTTGCCCATTTTTTCTCATCAACACTTTTGTCTAGATACTTGGCAGCAGATGGATATTTCATCCTAAAAGCACTATAGAGTTTTCCGAACTCAACCTCTGTATAAGCTTTAGCGCACTCGATGAACTTCTTCGCACATGCATCTCTGTGGGTGGCAACGTGTCCTTTCACATTCTGTGACAAATGCCTTACACAATACCCGTGTTGAGACAGAGGGAACACTTCCCTTATTGACTTGATCAAGCTTGGATTCCTATCCGAAATAAACACCATTCCAGGGACATCTGGTGTTACTGACTTCAACTGATTCAGAAACCACGTCCAACTTGCATCTTTCTCACCATCAACTACACCAAAAGCAATGGGATAATGATGATAATCAGGATCCTGAGCTGAAGCGACGATTAGAACTCCACCATATACGTTCTTCAGGTGGGTTCCATCTATAATGATGACTTTCCTCATCGATAGAAACCCTTCTATGCAAGCTCCCAATGCAAAGAATATGTATTTAAATCTTTTCTGCTCATCTAATTCCACACAAGTCCGTGTACCCGGATTCACTTTCTCTAGCATGTACAAATAAGAATATAGCCACCGATAACTCTCCTTAGAACTTCCCCGCACCTCAATAGCAGCTTTGTTTTTTCCTCTCAGCGCTGTCGAGTATGATACTTTCACGCCAAGCCTGCCTTGAACCATATTGATCAACGTTTTTGGATCTGGTGTGTCGAATCGACCTGGATAGTCTTCAGCCAAAACAGTTGCAACTAAGTGTGGTGTGCCTTTCCTTTTCTGTCTGATTGTACTTGTAGTAACCCGAGAGCATGTGTGCACCTTGTTGTAAGTGACAATAGTGAAACTATTTGAGTTCATACGCACAGAAGCTCTTAAACCCCACTTGCATCCCTCTTTTGCTCCACAATATTTTACCACGAAACGTGTGGGATCAGACTTTTTCGTTTCATACTTAAAACCATTCTCATGTGCACCTTTCTGCAGGAGAGCTTGCAGTCCCTGCCTAGTGTCAAATTCTTGACCTTTATATATATCTAAACCATCTTCCCATCCATGACTTACTTGCGAGTTTCCATCAGAATGTCTGACTTCTGTATCATCATCATACACGAGCTCATATCTTTGTAGAGGATCTGTATCATTTTCTTGCATCTCATTGTCTGGCATTTCATTGTCTTGCATTTCACTGTCCGGTATTTCTAAACCATCTCTAGCGGTCGAAAACATCTCATCATTACTTGGACCTACATCAACGTCAACTCCATGATCCTCTCTTGAAACATGCATGCTTCCATGACTTTGATCAATATCCTTGATGAACTCCACATGTAGAACACTGCTACATTGATCCTTACTCATTTGTAATAGATAACCAAAAATATTTTCGTCATTCCAAATATATGATGGTTTCTTCGTGTTCAAGACCATTGGATAGTAACTAATTTTCAGCTGAGATTAGATGCATCTATCAAAACATTTCTGCAAATTCTCTCCACTAATCCAAGATAAGTGACATCCTCCAAAGATTTCCTCATCACTAAAGTGTGAATCTCATCTTCTACAGAATTCCATATAACTTTATCACCATCTTTTGAATAGAACCCCCCATAATCAAAACATAAGACTGTGCAACCACTGCTACTCATTTCCCCTGAAAAGAACAAAACAATCGTAAGGTAATCTTATCATAGTTGTACCAGTTTTACTAGTCGTACTTAAGATGTTCAGTTACGCTAGTTGTACCCAGAAAGTTTGGTTCATCCTAGTCGTACTAATTCACTTAATATGTCCTGTTGTGCTAGTTGTACCCAGTAGTACCTAGAAAGTTTGATTAATCCTAGTCGTACTAAATTCACTTAATATGTCCAGTTATGCTAGTTGTACCCAAAACGTTTGGTTGATCCTACTCGTACTAATATGTCCAGTTGTGCTAGTTGTACTCAGTAGTACCCATAAAGTTTGGTTCATCATGCGAATCATCACTAGTTATTACGATTTATTGCTCAGTTAACCAAGATATCATATTTTATTAACAATATCAGTTACTAGTAGCCTTATCCAACTAGCTCAGCAGCTCTAATGAGCAAAAAAAAAAAATCAAAATTTTCTTTACTATGAAATTCTCTAATTAACTAACTATGTATTAATTGCTTTGCCTATGACATAAACTTGATAATTCAATCAAGAAATCGAAAACAGTATAAGAAACAGCAACAACTAACCTTCAATTTCACGTCTCCGATTTTATCAATGGTGGAAACATGAGAGGAAGAAGACGACGTGAAAGGAAGAAGATGACAAGAGGAGCAATAAAATTAAATTTTGGTTGGTTTGGTTGGTTTAGAGGGTTAAATTACAATTAATTTTCTACCAAACTGCTGCTGCTTTTTCTTTTTTTTTTTCAATTTTTTTTTTTGTTTTATTGAAGAATAAAATTGGGAATTCCAAACTAAGAGGGGCAGATTTATGAAAAGTAGTTAGAATTCTCCTGCTATATGGAGGGTCAAAATGGCATTTCAGCTCTTAGCTCAGAGTGTGAGAAGAGATCAAATTTTTTTTGAAAATGGCAAATCAGCCTCGGCCACATAGTTTTTCTAGAAAAGTGGCATTTCAGCCATCGATACTCTCCGCAAGTGAGAGCGAGAGTGTGAAAGGAACTAAATCGCAGCAGAATGAAGTTTGCCTTAGCGACTTCGAGTTTTCTGGGTGGTACCCAATTGATTCCGGCCACTCTGTTTCGCAGACGAGCTCGATCCGTGTCTCTCACCGTCGCCGCGATTGGCAGTTACAATCGCAGGAACGATAAGATATACACGAGGCTCGACTCTTGTCTGGTCATCCCTCCTCCTGCCAGGTTCAAGAAGCCTCGCGCCATCGTCAAGTTCTTGGGAGGCGCCTTCGTCGGAGCTGTGCCTGAACTCGCATACAGGTACTTCATCATCAAAACTTTGTGTTTATTCGAGTGGAGCAGTTTAATGATCGCTGCGCTACTTTAGGAAGAAGTTAGTCTCCTCTCTGTAATCTCATGGATTTGCCGTAAAATGGAAATTCTATGAGATTGTGTATTTGGATACGTTGAAGTTATATGAGAAATGGTCTTGACATTGATGTTGTGATTTTGTATCCTTTGCATCTGACACTGTACCATTGAAGTCTATATGGTTGCATATCACATTGCTATGGTTGACTTTGCGTTCATGCAATTTGGTCATAACTCAAATTAATCTATCATCGGAGAACCATTTGTTATCCATAAAGAGGATCATATCTGGTAGTCTAAGAATTAGTATATGTAATAATTTCTTCATGTCTCGAATCCTCTCATCTTTCTTGTAATTGGAGATGTTTATAGTATAGTCGGGATGGTTTTTGTGATACTCCAGAGCTAATTTGAAGGTGAAATGGGATTTCAGGAGCTGGGACAAGTTTTTGTCCTTTCAAGTAACTGGCAAATTGTTTGCCTTTAGCTTCCTACCTGTGTTAGCTACGGTTCTGTAATCGTTTAAATGATTGATTCTAAATCTCAAAAGATGTTTTTTTGTGTGTTTGTGTGGTCTATAGTTACCTCAAAGAGCTACTGGCAAAGGAAGGGTATTTGATAGTATCTGTGCCGTACAACGTCACATTTGACCATGAACAAGCTGCAAAGCAGGTATACGAGAGATTCAATTCCTGCTTGGACGTCATTGTCTCATCCGGAATTCCAAATGCGAATTTGACGCCTCAAGATCTAGCTCACCTTCCTGTTTTCTCAGTTGGTCACAGGTAAGAAATTTGTGCACCCCTCTCCAATTAAATGAGCTCGCTGCATCTAAAACTAGACCAAACTTGTGAAGAACTATGTTTCAGTTTTGTTATGTTGTTTTTGTTTATTCATAACCTCTGCAAGCTATCTAATTACTATATCGTGTTCTCATTCCCAAGCTGATGATACTTCTTGGTTGGATTTAGTGCTGCGAGGTTTATGTGATTCACTTTAATATTGTGGTTGTGAGATTCTTATAAAATATCTAAGTCCCTTGGAGGATATGACATCTCTGATGCTGACTAATGTCATGTTTTTAACTTGTACATAGCAATGGGGCACTTCTCCAAGTTTTGACAGGAAGTTACTTCGCTGAGAAAATACCGAAGGTCTGGTTTCTTGTCAACTAAAATGTAAATAGATTAGTTCACTAAGAAGGTTTTATTTGATGTATTATTTTTTGGACGAGAATAGTAGAGTTATATATTACAACCTAATGACAAAAATAAATTATCCTATGAAAGGTTAACGCCATCATCTCATTCAACAATAAATCGGCCACAGAGGCAGTTCCATATTTCGAGCAGGTAATATTATCATTAGCTATGATTTGCTTAAAACCTCATTATATGACCCTCCTTATTTATCAGAACCTAGGCTACACTATGGTAGGACTACACATGTTTAATGCTAGGAATCATGTATTCAGCTTAATGTTTTTGTCTGTCGAATCTTGTGACTGCAAATATTATCTAATCAATCTTGATTTATGTTTGATCTTCTGTTGTTATGTAATGCTTCCTGAGTTGATATGATTCTCAAATTAAAAGAAATTCAATATGATCTTGTAGTTTGCGAATGGAGTCACCAAACAAATGAGAAAATGGTTGTATCTTATATTGCTATGTTTCTTTGCAGCTTGGTCCTCTCATCCAGCAGATGATGCCTGTCGTGGAAGCTTCTCCAGTATATAAAATGGCTCGAAATGCTTCAGGTCGTACTACTTACGCTACAAATTATAATTCACATGTTCTTTCAATTAATCTATTTACTAAGTGGAAACAATGTTTTCATTCGGTCGAGTCATAGCAAAGAAAAAAAAGAACTCCATTAGTTAGCGTTCATATTCTTTTGTTTCCATCTTAACTTTTTTCAGCTTTAAAAGTGTCTTAAATCCAGGTGTATGATTTCATGTCGACAAGAGACTGGAGGCCTATGCCTTAGAATTTTTTTTCTCACCTATGCACAAATTGTTTTTGTATTTCTTTTTAAATGATGACTTTCGTAATAACTTGCACTTGGTCTCATTTACAGGTGATGTGTTGAAAGGGTTACTTGATACAGCTGGGACAATTCTAAACAACGACCAAGAAGCTCTCAAGTCATTTACTAAATTGGTGGATCAATTTCCCTCACTATTTGGTGAGGTATTTCTACTGCAAGGGATTCTTTACTTAGTATCAAAGATTGAGTTTATATTGTTCCTTTGTATTTGCCCAGGCCATTAGAGAAACTGAACTTCTCGTCTCGTTCTATGTAGGTGGGTCAAGGGGTGTCGGAATTCAGACCATCACCACTTGAGAATCGCAATTGCTTGAAATGCTCTTACAGCGTTCCACAGACTCTACTGGTAATACGCACACAAGTTCATTTAGAGTTTATATGAGCTTGATGGTTCAAAGATATAAGTAATCGAGAATTCATGCCACTTTTCAATCATCAAAATACTTATAAACTAACAGAGACAATTTCTCTTTACACAGACGTGTCTGTTTGTTGAAATGCTTTAACAAAGAATGAAAGCTTTACAAGTAGAGAAATTCCCTTAGTTTATATTTGACTACACTAAATCAGTAGAAAGAAATGGAGAATGTGGACAAATAACATATGGTGCATTAAGAGCGAACCAATTGCTAAGCAAACCAGGTCATATTTTTCGCATTGATCTTGGGTAGAGATTGTTAGACTCTGTTTGTGCATTTCCGAGATTATTTTGTTGGACAGAGAGGCTGTTTGTTTCTCATAACCAGTCCATATATATAGAAAATGTAGAGTGAACAATCCTCATATTTGATCTTCTGGTCTGCTGCAACATTTGTCTCAGGTACAATTCAACTCCGATGCGATCGATGAGACTGATTTACTGGAAGAAACCCTCAGGCCTCGGATAGAATCTTTTGGTGGTACACTTGAAAAGGTTCTGCTGAGTGGAAACCATCTCACACCTTGCTTACAGGTAAAAACAGAGCAACTGTTTCTGCAGCTAACAAAATTGCTCTGTTTCTTCTAATTTCTGTTAACTCTGTGTGTGTCTCCAGGATCCAAAGTGGCAAACTGGGTCTGTGTACACGCCAATAGACGCCGTGGCTCAGGCGCTAAAGACGATTCCTCTGAGGGAAACTCAAGTTCTTTCCAGGACAATAGTCGATTGGTTTAGACGGTTTGAGGATTGACGATTGATCATTTATTGTTAAAAATGTTAAAATATCATATTATTAATTGACAAGCAAGTTAACTGTGATTAAGAGTTATCATAGTTGATTACTTTTTACCCTTTATATGAATTCATTAATATATCCTTAACGAAATAATCGATTTAATTAAAAAAATATTTGCATTTAAACTTTAGAAAATAATAAATATATGACATATAAATAGAAAGAAGGAAATATTGTATAAAATCTAGAAAGAAATAAATTTAAAAAGTAGAATGTTTAATAAATATATGATAAACTCGATTTGATATTTATCTATAAAAAAAACATAATAGTGATACAAAGAACTTAAAAACGTGTGTTATGCCTAATTTGTTTTTGTATATAAACATTTTGACATCTTATTCACAATTTCTCATTGCCGTTTTTTTTTATTACGGTTTTGTAAATTTTTATTATATGTTTTTTTACCTAGAGTTCATCTAGATATGCTTTTAATTTCCCTCAAAAATATGTATCTGTTTTTGAAATTTATGTTTTTATATGTTTGTGATAACGATTTATCTATTATTCTTAGTTTGTTTTAAGGTTCTGATTTGTTCTTCTATACTTTGTTAGGATCCAACGATTATGGTTTGAGAGCATGTGGATTGGTCTAATTATATATAATTTCTCACTTTATTTTTTTATAAATGTAGGCATTAAAAATACATGCTTCGATATAAGATGTATGTTTGATCTACAGTTTGCTACATGGCTTTCAAAAGGTGATTTTAATATTTCTGATATCTTATTTTCTTTAGTGGTTTTCTTCTTATTTGATTATTTCGTGTATTGTTCTCTATCGATTGCTATGATATTATATCTAAGTTTTAGAAGTTTAAACTTTTTATTCCTTATACGTCAAAATGATGGTAACAGATAATTGCCAATAAAGCTTGTGACCTAGGAGTATGAATTAGCGTCTATGCCTTTATAATTAAAGGTGAGCTTCTTTTAAATATTTGAGCCTTTTTGTATTTTCTTACAGTTTTTCTGTAATGTTTATTGATGCTAAAACCAATGACAAGTGTATCAACTTACAGTTAAGATTGGCGTTTAATAGTGATGTTTGTAAGGATATGTGTAAGATCTTAAGCTATAGATTGGTTTTCTGAAAGAAAACAAATTTATCCCAAATCTGGGTACTCATTGTTTTGTTTTTGAATTTATTTGCTTTGTTTTGTTTTGGTCGAAGAGTTTTAAAAGGCATTTGAAAATCAATTCCGAAAATGCGAGTCTTCTTTTGGATTTTTTTTTAAGGTGCAAAGTGGAAGGCTATCTTTTCTTCCTCAAAGAAGGAAGAAAAAATGTTTTATTTGATATTATTCGGAGACTCAGATATGGATTTTTTGAAATTGATTTAGTGAATAATGAATCGGTTAACGCCGAGGTTGTCGAAAAAATATCATAAAGACATTGGGGGGTGTTGTGATGCAAAGAATTTGAAGAGACAATTGATATGCAGCAATCTGATAAAAGATTCAATATTTACAACGAAGACACATTAATGTATGTGCAACCAGCGATTGCTTGGGTGTATTTTTGTTCTGTATATGGAACACTCTTTATTATATTAAATTATTTCATAAGCTTCTCCTATGTATATTAGATCATTATTTTTTAAAAACATCTATTTTGTAAATTGGATTAACGAAGATTTATTTCTTTGTTAGAGTTATAACATTCCTTCCCATGAAGAAAAGTATGATGTGATGGAGTGATGATGATAATGATGACTTATCCAATGAGTCATCATTATCTAATTCTAAAGCGGATATTGTGAGAAAGAAAAATGACAAGTAGAAAGTTAAGAGAGCTTTCGACTATGAATCTTTGCAACAACACGGTTACAAAGCTTCTGGTCTTCCAGATGTCCCTTTGCATGAGGAGGTCATGAGATAAGCAACGATCATGTGGAAGTGAAAGAGAGTTATCGAGAACGAGAAGCTACAAGAGTTACCGTTGTAGATGGTGATAATCGTGAGTTGATTGTGAATGCATAAGTGAGTGATAGGAAGATTCATTCTTTTTTAACAGAGAGGAAAATAAGAGAGCTTTGGGTCAAGCGAGTAGAGAAAAGAACTACATTGAAGAAGAGAAGAGGTAGTTAAGAGACAATGGTGTTTACTTTTGATTCTTAAAAATCTCAATTTTGAGGTAAAATCTTTGTATTTGGTGATATGTCATATGAATACTTTATTTTTGATTCTTAAAAATCTCAACTTTGAGGTAAATTTTCTGTATTTGGTGAATATATAATATGAATATGAAGAAATAAGAATTTTACTTTATTAATGACCACAAGCATTTGGAGATTTATCATTTACTTAGCTTTTTTACTCTGGATATTTCTGGAAAAAACAGCCTTAAAATATTTTTTGGTATCTGATGATAATTTGATATGCGAAACAGTATGCTTAATTTTACTAATAACTATAATTTTACATGAAAAATAAACATTTTGATACTTTATTACAAAGCGGGTCTCTAACTATGTGATTTTTATATATACCAAATTAACAATCATTAGTAGATTTTTTAATAGTCTAATTTCATATATATCGAAGTAATTCATAATTAAAAAAATATATATTTTTTTATCAAATCTATTTAAATTTATATATGCTTGCGCGTTTGTACGGACGGGACACCTAATATACTGTATATAAATTTTTTTTTATTGTTATTGAATTAATGCAAAATATCGAATACTGGGCTTATTAAAGATTGCTGTATCATTTAGTTTGAAATAAAAAATATTTTGTGCATATTTTGTTAAATGAATTTGGCTAATAACTTGCACAAGCTAAAGCTAATTCCTTGGATAGAGTATACAGATGTCATGAGATCTGTATTATTTAACCCCCTAAAAAATAAAAGAAATCTTAGCAATTAGCTGGTATAATCATTAGGGTGAGCTACAAAACTTCATAATCAACCTCAGTGGAATTCAGTTTGGAGGACAAGGCTATTCCTGATTCTGTTTTGAGTGTTCCTAAGAGTTCAATGATTCTCAGATCTTCTTTATCATTATCTTCAACTGGTGACAAGGGAACGACCAGCAGTAATGAGTTCTTTTTCATTTTTAAATTTTTTTTACCAGTTGCTAGTAATAATGTTTTTCTAACATTCTTTCTTATTCATTATCATTTAAAGAAATATAATTCTCATATTTACCATGAAATCAAATTTTCAGGATAAAATTAACAAAAAAACTAAAAAATTTTCACCCTCCAATATTTTTCATTTTATCTTTCCAATTTTGTCATTTAGGAAGGTCTTTCTGAATGTTTTTTCTGTTAATATTTCATGATTTTTTAGGAAGGTCTTCCAAACACTAAAATTCAACATCGTTTCATATAATTTAGGAAAGCTTTCCTAAATTTTTTAAAAAATTCTGAATTGTGGAAAAGGTTCTTGAATTGAAGAAAGGCTTCCTGAATTTGAGTTGTTGTATAAACTAACCAAAAAAATACTAATTATATGATTTTTTTGAAGGCTTTACTAAATACATATAATGGTTTCCTTAATTTAGGAAAGTCTTCCTAAAATTTTAGAATTATCTTCCTAAATTTACTCTCATCTCCTTCCTTACCTCTGCGATACTCTGAAGAAAAACTTTTTGGAAGTCTTAACTTAATCCCTCTCTAATCAGATGTAGTATAGAAGGGGTTTTATCAATCCATATAGGAGTTAGAATAAAAGAGATGCAAGGCACAACTAAGCTTAACCATGTATGGTGAAGAAGAGTGATTCTAACAACCTAAGTGATCAAAGATGAAATGCAAAAGTGAAAAGCAATACTAACAAGATTAAAGCTATCAATGCAATGCAAAGAAACTAAATGCAACAGAAACTAACAAGGTAATGATTTAAATGCAACAAGACTAAGATAAGTAAAACAACAAAAGTGCAAGAACTAAAATGAAAGCTAAATGCAATAACTTGAAATGCAAGGTAAGGAATAAAGCAAGAACAATGCAAATTGATAACAGGTATTTGAACAGCTAAACAAATCCTAACACACTCATGTCATTGCAGCATGTAAGGTATCAATCCATCTAAGTTCTTAAGACACCAAAAATACAAAAAATCACCTAAGTTAAGCCAAATTCAAGAAAGCAGTCGTGATCAAACTAAACAGGTCTAAAGACTGAACTATACAAAGCAGGAAAATCAAATAGATAAAGTAAAGATCTAAGAGGGGGTTATTGATTAAGAGGGGATTAGAACCTAACTAGTAATGCTTCAAAACCATTCAAACAATGCAATCTTCTAGGCATAGGATTAACAACTATAACTAGCTCAATTCCTTGACACTAATCACTTTGCTAAACACACATTTCAGATAAATTCCTTTACTCAAACACATGATCAGCAAGCATTCAGAACATAATTTCAATCCTATGAAGCCAAAATGCACCTTAGACATCCAATTCCTTAGGCTAAGCATAAAAATCCTCTAAGAGACTCAGAGCAGCATTTCATCAAATACTTATCAGGCGCAAGAGAAAGCCAAGATACTAAACAAGCCTGGCCAAGACTAATCTAGGGTTAAGCACATCTAATAGAGAGAAAACAATCATATTAAGCATAAGACATCACTAATCTAGTCCTAAAACCTCTCTAATCTATCCCATCTCAAACCCTAAATAAGACTACTCACTAGCCATAGTCAAAACCATAAATTCTAAAGAGAAATAATGGTTAAGCATGATTAGAAAGCAGAATAAGCAAGAATTGATTAAAGGCAAATACAGAAATTCACTATATCAAACTAGTTCTTACAATGCAAAGCTGAAAAGAGAAACGTTTTTAAGTGCAAAAACAGAAGAAAAATAATAATATCTAAGTTGCCTAACCATTTTAGGACTTTAGTATTTATAGGGGAACTAGAAAACCCCTAGTAAACCATGATTGAACCGAAAATAGGCTGACTTGGACAGACCATATCGACTATGCACATCAATATTCATGTCGATATCATCTCTTCTTTCGGGTTGTATCGATGTCTCTTAGTCGATATGCACGTCGATACAGAAGGCTTCAATGTTGTATTGGTTTGGCTCTCCATGGTGTGAAGTCGATACAATCTCCCTTTAGTTAAGGCTCATCAGGCAAACAAGTCGACACAGCACCTATGTATTGTCCTGTCATGTGTATTGGTCTAGGACGTTCATACGCTGCTCAGTATGGGCTCCCTTCTGTTGCATCGAGATCTCTAAGTCGATATGCTTCCTTCACACCATGCCTTCACTGTATCGATGCTGAAGTGATAGATACTCCCATCAATATGCTCTGTATCGATCAGGTGATGTCGATATCATCATCGATATTGGCCCATCCGTCTTTGTCCCTTGTCTTGCTACTGATAGGGTCAATGTTTTACCCAAATAAAACTACTGCAAGTGCACAGCAAAAGCAGTTGTAGTACAAGGGGTTATCGAATCCCAAGGGAGTATGTAAACCACACTAGCGATTATAGATTCAGATTAAGCTAAGCGATAAATAATGAATGTAATGCAAAACAGTAAAATAAATGCAAGAGGGCGTTTTTATGCTTGTTCTTAAAGTTCAGAAGGCTAAAGGCGCTAAGT